ACAGGGCAGACTAATTCCTATTGGTCCGTGCACAGGCCACCCAGAGGTGTAAAAGACAATATCAGTAACGCGGGATTTGGAAGGAAATCATTTAGTGAATCAGAAATACTTTAACCCCTTTCCAAGCAGATGTTGCAGATTTGCAACAGCTAAATCCCACTTAGCTAATTACTTTACATCCATATTTTAAGAGCTTTTGTTACTCAGAAGTACAACAGAAGGACTTAGTTGTGCATTTGCAACAAACAGTTTTTCTCCAGCTCAGCAGATGAGACTGCTGACTCACTTTCAACATGGCTGAGTCCTTGGTGTCACTAAGCACCAATTTCATGTCAGTATCACTACCAATTTTCATTATTTTGAAATCAATACTACATAAGATGAATCATGAATGTGTATAGATATGACACATGCCAATTAGTAGAATTTATCTCTCGGTTTTTCACCAGAGGAATCATGATTTCAATGTTGTGGATTTGCAACGTGTGCCCAAACAGATACCAATGGATGCTACATGCTTTATCTACTAGTTTGCCTATATTTTGAGCAACAGCTTAACAGAAACAGTCTTCTCAAGAGGTTTTGAGATGTCGGTGGAGAAAAAGTTTGAGAAAAAGTTGTCTCTAATTTTGAGAAATTTTTTTATTTTTATTTTGTTTTGTTATTTTTTTGTTTTTGACATTCAAATAAAGTTAACGTTCATATCAGATTCAATCTTCAGTGTTAATTTACCACTCCCGGCCACTGTTGCATATCTGCAACATCCCAGAATTCATTGCATGTGAAGGTCTCTCTCAAAAAAAAAGTCTGAATTGTATATTTCTACCCCATATGATCATTTTCTCCTAATATCAGATTTTTCCTGCAACTACAACTTAATTTGAGCCTGAGAGGGTTAATAATTCCAGAGGGAAATTACTTTTTTCCTAGAAATTAGAAAAATAGTGTTTAACGTTTTTCCGTTATTAATTAGCCAATTAACCTTTTTCAGATTAAAAGGTTTTTTTTCTCCCCCTTCAATAATATCGGACCACATTTCTCCCCGTATAAAAGCGGGAGGTGAAGGCGCTCCGCGAGTCTCCTCCCACCTTGGGGCAGCGCCTGTTGAGGGTCCGCTGAGAGTCGAAGTAGGTGATGGTGCGACGGGGGATGTCGACGCTGACCAGAGACCAGTGGACCTCCAGGTGGATGGGGATCAGCAGCAGATCTTTCTGGAAGATGTCCACCTGGGAAGAAAGGAGGGGGCATCCATCCAGAGGAAAAGGGACCAAGCAGCTCTATCCATTCTAGGTCTACAAACAGAGACTGTTCACTTACATTCTTTGTCCACCGTTTAACTCCTTCATATCCTTTTGTCCTTAGCTTGTCATAAAAGAAGCTGTTGAAGAAGTGGACCTGAGGACAGCAGAGCGAAAAGTTACACCATTTCTTTCCTGATAGCGAAGCTTTAAACTTCATAGATAAGAGGGAAAAGAATCTGGACCGAGTTTAACCATCATCATGGTTGCAGCAGCTAACAACCGTGTGAGGGGGATCGATCATATGGAAAGTCATTTCATTCCAAAATTAAATGCATAAATTCAGCTTTTAAAGTCGTAGGGAAGCGGCTGTTCCAACCGTCGCATTTCCGAATTCTCCTGAGGAGTGGTGCACGACTTTACACGAGTGAATAAAGAGAATGTAATTGGTCGATTATCAAGGGGGCGGGATTGTTGT